GTATATTTTCTTAGTGCACATCCTTCCCTTCATTAAAGTAACAAGAAGCTTCTGTTGGCTTGTAGGCCTAGGAGTGTCCCTGCGATTGCATTTTGGGGGAAGGGTTATAACTACCCGGATAGCGGCATTAATTCCAAAATGACTTGCTCTCATAACTTCCCCACTGTGCTCAGGGTGGGAAGTTCCTGCAGAAAATACTCCCTCGGCACCCAGAGGGATCCTGCAGCAGGTGCACGTGTCTTGTTAGGTCCAGTGGCTGGAGTAGCCACTTTGCTTGTTTGTAACATGGGGCTTATTTGGGTGAATTCTCCCAGGCTCTAGGTATCTCTGAAGAGACTGTTCATGCACACCACTTTCTTCTGGTCGCCTGGCCTTGATAACTCTTGTAACAAGTGCCCAAGTGTATATGTTTGCCACGTTTTCATTTCAGTCTCTACTTGCCTCGCTATTTTCCTTGCTGAACAAATACCCACTTGTTCCCACAGTAGTAATTTGTGACAACAGAGCCAAAATCAGCTGCTGACTTGGGTGCTTGAACTGTGTGTGTTTTCACGACATTGTGTGTGGGTCCTCACTCCCCTCCCACCTCGCTCCTCCAGCTGGCCTTCCTTTCTCTCTAAGGCAGTGGTTCTTAACTTTCCTGATGCCGCGACCCTTTAATGCAGTTGCTCATGTTGTGGTGACCCCCAACCATAAAATTATTTTCGATGCTACTTCATAACTGTAATTTTGCTACTGTTATGAATCATAATGTAAATATCTGATATGCAGGATGTATTTAGGCGACCCCTGTGAAAGGGTCGTTCGACCGCCAAAGGGGTCATGACCCACAGGTTGAGAACCGCCGCTCTAAGGGAACTGCAGGCTTGGCTGTTATTTTGTTCTCTAACCTAAGCCTTCTTAGCTTAGCTCTGGCTAATTTTTGTGCCTTTGGTTGATGCTGATGGCCTGACTTACTCCCTGGGGTTTGAGACTTGTGATTCAGGGAGGGAAATGTGATTATGACAGGGCAGAGTTCCTCGAAGCTGAGAAGTGTGCCGGTTTGAATGTGTGCAGAGTGAAGGTGCTGGCCCTGCGGGTCTTCAGGGACACACTCGCCGCTTTACTTAATCTTTGTGCAGATCCCACTGTGGTGCATGCAAAGGCCGGACTAGAAAGGGGCCTCTTGGTTAGTGGAAGGCTAGGCGTAGAGGGAGCGTGCGGAAATGGGTGGTAGGTCCTGGGACAGTGATGAGTAGGAGTGATGGGGAGAAGAATTGGAAAGGCTGGAGCTGGGTCTGTCCTGGCCACAGAAATAGAGGTGAGAGCCAGCGCCTTAGTCGCCCACCGAGAAGCAGACAGCAGGCCAAGGAGAACCCACTGACAGGGACCCAGTCAGGGGAGGTCCTTTCTTCCCTCTTAAACTTGGTTCTGGTGAAGTATAACTGTGGGGCTCTACCGTTTTGCACTGGGAAGAGGGGGAATGACTTTGCTGGGGAAACGAAAAGGGAGTGGGGATGGTCTCAGGGAAGTACACCGGCGAGCTGTTTGGCTTTGTCTGAGCTCTTAGTCTTCTAGTCCCAGTGTCGCTTCCTCAGTAGGGCCAGGCTCCCATGACAAGAGTGTCCACTCTGCAGCCCCTGAGCGAGGTCTTGTTAAGATGAGGCCACGCCACCCTTCACCAGTTCCATGGTTATCTTCTTCAAGCATTCTTCTCTCCTGAGCAGTTTGAATTAACAGTCCCTGCTTCTGTGGAGTCATAGTCTTTTCCCTTCCCGTGCTTTCGTCCCCCAGGCAGTGGGCTCAGTGCCTCTCTTCTCGGACACTTCCCCTGGTTCTGGGGGCAGGTACTGTTCCGGTTCCCTGTTGGACCAGCTCCGTTCTATAAAGTGGACCCACTTCTCTGCCAGACATCACTCTGCATCCCTGATTTCAGTGATGCCTCAGACCCCTCTTTATGTTTCTTTTTCTACCCAGAAAAATCACTTTTTTCTCTATTGACAAGTTGCTGTGATTTTTATCCTATCGGGTTTTGTCCTAGAGCAGTGGTTCTCAACCTTGGCTGCACATTAGAATCACCTGGGAATCTTTTTAAAGTCCTGATTTCTGGGCCTCCCAGAAATCCTCCCAGATGAGGCCCAGCAATCAGGATTTTAAAAAGATTCCCAGGTGATTCTAATGTTCAGCCAAGGTTGAGAACCACTGTCCTAGAGGCAGACTTCTCATATGTATTAACATCTTGGAAGAGGAGTTTGATTCTCACAAAGATTTCTCATCCTGGCGCTTGCTTGGCTCGCGGCGTGGGGGTTTTCAGTCGGTCCCGGTCCAGGCGGTTGAGAGTTGGTGTGCCAGGTGATATATGTAACCGATGCTTCAAGCTCCCTAAACATACAGACTATGACAGGCTGCTGTCCGCGGGCATGTCCCAGTGTCGGCATCACCTTGTTGAGTTGGTGAGCCTTCCAGAGGCGCCAGCCAGGAAATCGGAACAGACTCAGAGGCAGGCTTATTCAGGGACTTCCCACTCTGGGCTTTCTGGGGTGCCCCTGAAAGGCACTGGTGTCCTAAGTAGAAAGGAATGCTTTGAACAAGGGGCTTTGTCATGAGCTGCGTGCCCAACAGTTCCTCCTGTTTTGGTGGCTTTGTCTCTAGTCTGTGACTCGATGGAGTCACTCAGACTAGAGTCACAGCAGAATGGAGCTGAGAGCCCCAGAGCCCAGCAGACTGTCCAGCGCAGGGCAGTGGGCCTGCTGGCAGCCAGAGGTCAGGACTGGCCAGGGTGTGTGTGTGTTGGCTTTTGGGGGTGTTTGCTGTCAGGATGTGTGAGTGCAAAGCAAACTCAAGCCTCCTTCACTGTGTCCAGCGTTCTGGGCTGAAGTGTAAACAGAATTGGTTTCTCATAAAACAAGCATTTTGAGGGCTTGGATGAAGCACCCTGCCTATTTCCATGTTATGGACACGGGGACGAGCCAGCTGGGAGAAGGTGTCCGGGTTTTACAAAAACACTGCCGGCATTGAGAAATGGTAGCTTTCTTTCCTGAGGCTCAAAGTAACATCACAGAACAGTGGGCCCTGCTTTGAAACCTTAATCTCAAATAGATCCTAGTGTTGTCTCACATGTGAACTGGCCTCCCTGTGTGTTCTGTACACACACACCGAGGTTCCCAACCTTTCCTGGGATCACCTCTTTCCACCCTATCCCAGCTTTTATTTTTAAAAATGTCCAACAGTGGGAAAGATGGTCAGTAATAGTGGTCTGCCCTCCACCTGGATTCAGAAATTGTTCACATTTTGCCACATTTACTTTATCTCTGTATGCTTTCTTTTGGCATCGCACTTTACTTCTAAGAACTTCAGTTGAGTCTCCTAATAATAAAGGCAGTCTTCTACATCACCACAGGTTCATGATCACACATAAGAAAATAAATAACTTCGCCATGACTGGTTTGGCTCAGTGGATAGAGCATCGGCCTGCGGACTGAAAGGTCACAGGTTCGATTCCGGTCAAGGGCACGTACCGTGGTTGCGGGCACATCCCCAGTAGGAGGTGTGCAGGAGGCAGCTGATCGATGTTTCTCTCTCATCGATGTTTCTAACTCTCTATCCCTCTCCCTTCCTCTCTGTAAAAAATTAATAAAATATATTTTAAAAAAAAGAAAATAAATAACTTCATTATATCATCTAATATCCAGTCTATATTCCTACTTCCCCAAATGTCCCAGGTCTCTGGAATTTTCAAGAACTATGATCCAATCAAGGTCCTCATATTGCATTAAGTCACTTACTCTAGCACAGTGGTTCTCAACCTTCCTAATACCGCGACCCTTTAATACAGTTCCTCATGTTGTGGTGACCCCCAATTTCATTGTTACAAATTGAACATAATTAAAGCATAGTGATTAATCACAAAAACAATATGTAATTATATGCGTGTTTTCCTATGGTCTTAGGCGACCCCCAAAGGGGTCGTGACCCACAGGTTGAGAACCACTGCTCTAGAAGAATCTACACACACACACATATATGCACGCACGCA